GCTGTAGTTCAAATGTTGGCTAACTGGACCTTTGCTGGTTCATAACCGTATCTCTCTGCACACAGAGCACTAACTTGTATTCCAGGTTGGGGTTGAAGCAGCAGCTTTCCAGAGCGTCCAGAGAGCTGGAAAGGAGATCCATGTCCTCCTGGGCAGAGGTATCCCTGAACAACACAAAGAACCACGAGTCTTTGTTAGTTCAATAAGCGAAGGGAACACTTTCCTCTGAGAGACGCCGTACCGGAGACATTGGTGGTGCAGACTGGAGAGAACCATGCCGAGAGCAAGACCCGAGTGGAACTGGACGGCCTGGGAGTCGTCTGCGGAGGGCGAGCCCGGCAGGCCGGCCTGCAGGGCTGACAGAACCTGGACCAGACCGTCCCTCTGCCACACCACCAGAACCGGGACCAGCAGCGACAAGGCCAGGCTAGCGCAGGAGCGGGCGATGGCGCTCGCCGTGTTCTCACCGGAGTACGATCGCTGAGGAGGAAGAAAACGTTCCGTTAGTTAACATCTGCATCAGCGCAGGAAATAACTTCGCTTCCTACTTTAAACTCAGTGGGTAAACTATTCAACCACAATCCAAGGTCAAAGATCTCTTTAAAGATTCGTTAAAATGTAGTAAAAACGGATAAACGTTCCTGTAAAACGTTTATTTAGGACACCTCCACATATATTTTCAGCCTTTTTCCTTAAAGTCATTTTGTTTTTATCTTCCTTTGCTGATTTATTTGGTATTTACCTGTAGCTGAAGCATATTCTCAGGTGAAACTTACATGAAGGAACCATGGAAACACCTGTCCCCTGGCCTTGTAGCTGCTGCTGCTGATGCTCAGCAGGGTGTCCAGTACCATGGACAACCAGCTGGAAGTAGGCACAAACTCAGGGCCGGCCTACAGGGATCAAACAGGGAGGATATTCAGCAGCAGGAACTACGTTTCTGCTCTCAGGGGCAACAAAACACAGGATTCCTTTACTCAAGGGTGTTTTAAGAAAAAACAGTGTTACCCCGAGGCTGCCGCTGCTGTCGGTAGGCAGATTGCTCTCATACTTGGCGACCACAGCAGCCAGACCACTTAGAGCCAGGATGGAGTTTCCCTGGACAACAGGACTGTCCCTGACGAAGATACAGAACCATCCAGTTAGGACGCGTCGAAATATCCAAACATTTCTGGGTTAAACTCTAATGTAACACAATACAGCCGGCCGCAGGCGTAACTTTCTGAAGAGGGGGGTGGACTCAGGTTTCAGCTTTCAAAAACCTACAATGCAGC